ACATTAGAATTAGCGATTTACCATCCTTACGACAACCTTAAAAGTCTTCCAAAATTTCAGAGCATGGGGTTTTCTAGTTTCTAAATTAAATTGTAACATGTTGTCAAACAATTTTATTATTACTATTATTATTAGTTACTATGTTCCACAGGTAGAAACCCAATTACATAATCTTGATTTTTTTCCAAAAATCTGGACGCTTAGAGTAAAACATCAAAACGGAATCATGAACCACAAGTACTGGATGTTATTTCATAAAATTTGAATAGCATTTACTATGTAAAATTTTGAGGCAACGTCATCAAATTATTGCAGGGGATGATCAGATAAATTTTGGTTACAATTTCAGGACAATTATAACGTTCATTTAAGAATTTCAGTGAAGAAAATTTCGAAAACTACATTTAAAAATAAAAAAAAAAAAATAGATAAATTACGATTAGCGATTTAGCATCCTTACGATAACTTTAAGACTCCAAAATTTCAGAGCATTTGGTTTTCTAGTTTCTAAATTAAATCGTGACATGTTGAAATAATTTTGATTTTTTTCCGAAAATCGAAATTATGGCGGTAAAAAATAAAGGCGAAATAATAAACAACAAGTACAGGAGTACATTAATGTGACCGAATTTAAATTGCACTTTCTATGCAACGTCATCAAATTGTTGCGGGGGATGATCACATAAATTTTCGTTAGATTTTTACGACGATTATGACGTACACTTAAGAAATTTCACTGAAGAAAGTTTCAAAAACTACATTTAAAAATTTTTTTAAATCTAGATAAATTAGATTTAGCGATTTACCATCCTCACGATAACCTTAAAACTCTTCCAAAATTTCAGAGCATTGGGTTTTCTAGTTTCTAAATTAAATTGTAATATGTTGTCAAACAATTTTTTTTATTACTATTATTATTAGTTACTATGTTCCACAGGTCGAAACGCAATTACGGAATTTTGATTTTTTTCCAAAAATCTGGACGCTTAGAGTAAAAAATTAAAACGGAATCATGAACAACAAGTATTGGATGTTATTTCATAAAATTTGAATAGCATTTACTATGTAAAATTTTGAGGCAAATCAAATTATTGCAGGGGATGGTCAGATAAATTTTGGTTACAATTTCAGGACAATTATGACGTTCATTTACGAAATTTCAGTGAAGAAAATTTCGAAAACTACATTTAAAAATGAAAAAAAATAGATAAATTATGATTAGCGATTTAGCATCCTTACGATAACATTAAGACTCCAAAATTTCAGAGCATTTGGTTTTATAGTTTCTAAATTAAATCGTGACATGTTGAAATAATTTTGATTTTTTTCCGAAAATCGAAATTATGGCGGTAAAAAATAAAGGCGGAATAATAAACAACAAGTACAGGAGTACATTAATGTGATCGAATTTAAATTGCATTTTCTATGCAACGTCATCAAATTGTTGCGGGGGATTATCACATAAATTTTCGTTAGATTTTTACGACGATTATGACGTACACTTAAGAAATTTCACTGAAGAAAGTTTCGAAAACTACATTTAAAAATTTTTTAAAATATAGATAAATTAGAATTAGCGATTTACCATCCTTACGATAACCTTAAAACTCTTCCAAAATGTCAGAGCATTGAGTTTTCTAGTTTCTAAATTAAATTGTAACATGTTGTCAAACAATTTTTTTTATTACTATTATTATTAGTTACTATGTTCCACAGGTCGAAACGCAATTACGGAATTTTGATTTTTTTCCAAAAATCTGGACGCTTAGAGTAAAAAATTAAAACGGAATCATGAACAACAAGTATTGGATGTTATTTCATAAAATTTGAATAGCATTTACTATGTAAAATTTTGAGGCAAATCAAATTATTGCAGGGGATGGTCAGATAAATTTTGGTTACAATTTCAGGACAATTATGACGTTCATTTACGAAATTTCAGTGAAGAAAATTTCGAAAACTACATTTAAAAATGAAAAAAAATAGATAAATTATGATTAGCGATTTAGCATCCTTACGATAACATTAAGACTCCAAAATTTCAGAGCATTTGGTTTTATAGTTTCTAAATTAAATCGTGACATGTTGAAATAATTTTGATTTTTTTCCGAAAATCGAAATTATGGCGGTAAAAAATAAAGGCGGAATAATAAACAACAAGTACAGGAGTACATTAATGTGATCGAATTTAAATTGCATTTTCTATGCAACGTCATCAAATTGTTGCGGGGGATTATCACATAAATTTTCGTTAGATTTTTACGACGATTATGACGTACACTTAAGAAATTTCACTGAAGAAAGTTTCGAAAACTACATTTAAAAATTTTTTAAAATATAGATAAATTAGAATTAGCGATTTACCATCCTTACGATAACCTTAAAACTCTTCCAAAATGTCAGAGCATTGAGTTTTCTAGTTTCTAAATTAAATTGTAACATGTTGTCAAACAATTTTTTTATTACTATTATTATTAGTTACTGTGTTCCACAGGTCGAAACGCAATTACATAATTTTGATTTTTTTCCAAAAATTTGGACGCTTAGAGTAAAACATCAAAACGGAATCATGAACCACAAGTACTGGATGTTATTTCATAAAATTTGAATAGCATTTACTATGTAAAATTTTGAGGCAACGTCATCAAATTGTTGCAGGGGATGATCAGATAAATTTTGGTTACAATTTCAGGACAATTATGACGTTCATTTAAGAATTTCAGTGAAGAAAATTTCGAAAACTACATTTAAAAATAAAAAAAAAATAGATAAATTACGATTAGCGATTTAGCATCCTTACGATAACCTTAAGACTCTCCAAAATTTCAGAGCATTTGGTTTTCTAGTTTCTAAATTAAATTGTGACATGTTGAAATAATTTTCATTTTTTTTCACTTAAGAAATTTCACTGAAGAAAGTTTCGAAAACTACATTTAAAAATAAAAAAAAAATAGATAAATTATTATGACTAGCGTTTCACCATGCTTACAATAACCTTAAAACCTTTCCAAGATTTCAAATCATGAGGTTTTGCAGTTTCTAAGTTAGACTTTAAAATAAAAAAAAAAATCAAGGGAGAATCATAAACCACAAGTACAGGGATATGTTATTTTATAAATCTTAAATAGCCCTTACTTTGCAAAATTTTGATTTTGATTTGACGTTCTCAAATTATTGCGTACAAATTCTATAATGACATATTTTTGGTTCTAATTAATTTTGGTTGATTAAATATCGCTTGGTAGTTTTGTCATTTGTGCTTAAGGTAATAACAATTTATTTAATTATTTTTAGGGAATCTTAATTTATTGCATTAAACACATTGTTTAAAAAATTTCTTGCAGAATTCTATTTGTTATACTGTTTTATGGTATTATTCTTTCTTATTTTTTGTGTTGTTATTCTTAATTTAATCTGTCCTCAACATAAACAAATAAACTTTGATTAGCGATTTACCGCGATAACCTTAAAACCTTTCAAAGATTTTGGAACTGAATGTGAAATTAAAGCGGACTGGTAAACCACAAGTGTGGGATGTTATTCTATAAAATTTAGGTAGCATTCACCATGCAAATTTTGAGATGACGTCATCAAATTGTTGAAGGAAAGTCCAGACGACAAACAGACAAAAATGGGAGACCTATTTTTCACACTCTAGGAGTCACGAAAAGTCCAGAAAGCAGAACATTTGTCATTAAATCCACCTTTTACTACTAGTGCCATCTTCTAAAGTAACTTCGAAAAATGAATGTGTCATAATTGCAAGAAATATAAACAACAATATACCGAGTGTTCAGTTGAAAAAGTTATCAAGTTGGTCTTGATTTTTTGTAAACATTGTGAACATGTCTACAATAAACCTAACCTAACCTCGCTTTTTCGTATAATAAAATTAATGCTTTTCAACAAATCTGTCAAATGTCAAATCACAGGGTACCCGTTTTTTGCAACATAATGATTCAAAAAATATCTCTGTCGTTACAGAGAGAGCGATAAGGAAAGGTTGATTAACATTTCTTGCTCTTCCTGAACCATCTTTACAATTCAAAAGATAGCCTAAGTGGATTTTCATACAGAAAAAACTCGCCACAAGGCCAAAATGGCCCTTCGAGCCGGATATTCCTCACAAATAATTTTTTAGACGCTTTAGTAACGTCAACAACAACTGTAAAACCGTATCTACGCCACTGCCAACCATCCAGCATGCATGAACAAAGTAAATTTAGCTTTGACGCAAAATCCACCCTTGAAAAACCAATTTCCGGCCAACGAAAAACTCGCTCTAACTGAAAAAATACCTGCTGCTCTTGCTGTACTCTGGACCTGAGAAACTCATAGTACGGAAACACCGAGCCATACCTACGAGGCGGTGACACCAACAAAGGCAGTTTTTCGACGCTTTTAGACATATCACGTGGTCCTGCCCTTCGCCTTTTTACGTTTCATTCTGATTGTCTGAACGCGTATTTTACACTGGATCGGACCTCGATTCGCCCGCTTATCGTGACATATCGCGTCTTATCAATCGGACTCGTCGTCTATCGTCGAAGAAGACGGTTCAAGGTTCTGACGCAATGTTTACCTCTGCGGCTCTGTGGCTCCCTTCCGAGCTCCATTTGCCCTTCAGGTCCCGGAAGACGTTGGGTATGGGGCTGTAGGTGACGCTCTGCGTCCTGGAGACGACCTTGCGGTGGGACATTTCGGCCCCGAGGTGGCACTAAACCGAGTACTGGGAGAACAGCGTGCGACTAGTGTTAACACCCGGTGGCTAATTGCTGGCATTTATTTTATACGCAAAGTCGTTTTGATTATCGCTTTTGTTCAACACGTGTTTCCATGGGTCAACATTTTATGGGTTTTCGTTTTTTAAGTTTGTGCGATCGTTTCGTGTGACTTGTACACTGATAGATAAGACTAATGCCTTGGTAGTGGAGGTGATCCTACGTGATAAGGATTTACTCAATTTACTGTGTACAAATAGGAGATAAAGGTTTAATTAGTTCAATGCAGGAATAATAAAAGAAATAAATATGTAAACACGGAGATTGGCAAAGTGCGGAGCGCTTTGCTAATTACGTTTCGAATGCTTATTGGAGATTGTAATATTAAAAGCAAGCAAAGGTATTGATTTTCTTATCAACTTTATCAATTAGGTACATATGAGGCAATCGACGATTTACACTAGACACGCAGACGATAAGTGATAAGTTGGGAGTGACAGATGTTACATCGATGCTGGTGAGTTGTTCTTTTAGTTTTAATAATTTCATATCTCGTTCTTGTACATTTCCAAAATCTTCCACAGCTATAAATAACAGATTCATGTTATTATATTCGTGAATAGGAATCGTAGTCGTGTCGTTAGCGATAACGTTTTTAATATAGCCACATTACAACAGAGCGCTATAATATAGACTCGCGTGTAAATTTATTACAGGCAATATATTTATGAATACTTGGAATTACGAAGTTTTCAGCTTCTACAATGTTTGTTGTTTGCAGATGAAGCTAAAATTTAGTACAATACCGACAAGAATAGACGATAAACTCACAATTGTTATGAGACTTAGATCTCAGGTCACGTTGTAGCTACAACGATTTGAGTCACAACATTGTCAATTACATAAATTCCAATTTCAAATAGTGATTCACTTCAAAAATTCAGAATGAAAATTTATTGGTAGGCAGTGGCGGGCGGTAAAGGTCAAGTTTAATGACAAGTTGAGGTGGTGAATTGCAACATTTTTTGGTTATTGATTAACACCGTTAAATCAATATGTAGATGATAAACAACTTGAAAATGTTGTCACATGAGCGTGACGGAATTAAACACTAACGTAGCTTACAAATCTTCACTAGGTGGTTTCTAAAAGAAATACAAATAAATATTATTGTTATTGTTTCATCGTGTTTATTTATACAGTGTGGTCTGATTTTTTTTAATTGTGATCGTTTTTTGAATTTTTAAAGGTACATAGTTTTTCGATTTTACGATTTCTCAGTGGATTTTTACTTTACAATTTTCATTTTTAAAAATATTCGAGTTTTCAATAATTATCAGTTCTTCAGTTTTTCGATTGGCAATTTTTTGATCTTCCAATTTCAATTTTTCGACTTTTCACTTTTTCCATTTTCGAATTTTTAAAAATTCCAAGTTTTTACAGTTTACATTTCACAGTTTTTCGATTCTTCTTTTGCAGTGTTCAGATTTTTCGAATTTTCATTTTACATTTTTCGATTTTTCACTGTTTTGTTTCTTCCCTTTTTCAATTTTAACATTTTTCCTTTCTTCAATTTTTCGATCTTACGGTTTTCGACTTTACAATTTTTCATTTTTACAAATGTCCGATGAGTTTTTCAGTTTTTCGATTTGCAATTTTTTGATCTTACAATTTCAATTTTTCGACTTTTCACTTTTTCCATTTTCGAATTTTTAAAAATTCCAAGTTTTTACATTTTACGATTTCGCAGTTTTTCGATTCTTATTTTGCAATGTTCTGATTTTTCGAATTTTCATTTTACATTTTTCGATTTTTCACTGTTTTGTTTCTTCCCTTTTTCAATTTTTACATTTTTCGTTTCTTCAATTTTTCGATCTTACTGTTTACGACTTTACAAGTTTTCATTTAAATAAATATCCGATGAGTTTTTCAGTTTTTCGATTTGCAATTTTTTGATCTTACAATTTCAATTTTTCGGCTTTTCACGTTTTCCATTTTCGAATTTTCAAAAATTCCAAGTTTTTACATTTTACAATTTCGCAGTTTTTCGATTCTTATTTTGCAATGTTCTCATTTTTCGAATTTTCATTTTACATTTTTCGATTTTTCACTGTTTTGTTTCTTCCCTTTTTCAATTTTTACATTTTCCGTTTCTTCAATTTTTCGATGTTACCGTTGTTTTTCACTTTTTTGAATTTTAAATTTGGAAGGATTCGTAATTTTTAGATTTTACGATTTCTCAGTTTTTTGATTTTAATTTTGCAATTTTCTGATTTTGCGAGTTTTCAGTTTTACATTTTTTCGAGTTTTTGATTTTACAATTTTTTATTTTTACAAATACTCGATTTTTTCAGTTCTTCACTTTTTCGATTTGCAATTTTTCGATTCTTCTATTTTTCGTTTCGATTCTTCGATCATACAGTTTTTCATTTTTACAATTTCTAATTTGTAACTCTAAAAATTGCCAGACCACAACTTGAAAAATCGAAAAATTAAAAATTAAAAAACTGAAAAGTACGAAGATTCTAAAACCTAAAAATGGCAAGTCGAAAAATTTAAGAAACGAAAAATGAAAAATCGAGAACTTGAAAAATTAAAAAATTAAAGGCGACGTTTAAAATCGAAAAACTGAAAAAATCAAAAGTTTGAAAAAATTAAAAAAATATACAAAACACGAAAGTGTAAACCTAACAACTGAAGAAAAAAAATTGAACAATTGCAAAATTAAAAGTCGGAAAATTGAAAAATTGAAGAAGCGAATACAAAATCCAAAAACGCGAAAAATTGTGAAATCGAAAATTTATAAGATCGAACAATTAGAAATCAAAAACTGAAGAAACAAGAAAAATGAAACATGAAAAATTAAAACTCGAGCAAGTAAAAGATCCAAAAATTGAGAAATAGAAACACTGAAAACCGAGAAATTAATACATAATTTGAAAAATCGAAAAATTGATAGTGTAAAGTCGGAAAATTGAAAAATCTGTAAAACGAAAAGTATAAAATCGAAAAACTGAAAACCGAATAATTAAAGAAACGAACCATCAAAAACACGAAAGTGTAAAATCTAAAAACTGAAAAATCGACAAGCCGCAAAATCAAAAAATTGTCAAACCGAAAAATGAAGAAATTGAGAAATGGAAAAATTTATACATTGAAAAATCGAAAAACTGCAGAAACAAAAATTGATAAAATGGCAAAATTAAAATTCGGGAAATTAAAAAATCGCCAAATGAAAATTCAAGAAATATGTAAAATCAATAAATTGCAAACAGAAAATTTAAAGAAACAAATACAAAATCCAAAAACGCGAAAAACTGTGAAATCGAAAAATTGAAAAACGAAAAATGAAAAATCGAGAAATTGAAAAAATCAAGAGATTGAAAAAACTTAAAAATTGTCAAACCAACGAATTTTAAAGTCGGAAAATTGCAAAATCGAAAAATTTAAAACTGAACAATTAAAGAAACGAAAAATCGAAGACACGAAAATGTAGAACCTAAAAACTGAAAAATTGGAAAGCTAAAAAAGAAAAAATTGTAAAATCGTAAATTGTAAGATCGAAAAATCAAGAAACTGAAAACCGGAAAAATTTTAAAATTCAAAAATCGAAAAACTGAATAAACGAAAAATTGAAAATTCAAAAATGTAAAATCGATAAATTGCAAACTGATGAATTAAAGAAACAAATATAAAATCCAATAAGGCGAAAAACTGTGAAATCGAAAAGTAATAAAATCGATAGTTTCTAAGATCGAAAAATTGAAAATCAAAAACTAAAGAAACGAAAGAATAAAACAGAAAAAATAAACCTCGAGCAAGGAAAAAATCCAAAATTTGAGAAATAGAAAAATCGAAAAATGTAAAAATTGAGAACCGAAAAATTGCAAAATATGAAAAAACGCAAAACTGAAAAATCGAGAAATAAAATACTGAAAAACTGAAAACTCGAAAAATTGAAAAATAGAAAAGTGTAAAGTCGGAAAATTGAAAAATGTAAAAAACGAAAAGTATAAAATCAAAAAATTGAAAAATCTAAACAACGAAAAGTATAAAATCAAAAAATTGAAAATCGAAAATACGAAGGTGTAAAATCTAAAAACTGAAAAATCGAAAAATTGAAAAATCACGAAATTGAAAAATGGAAAAATTTAAAAATTGAAAAATGGAAAAACTAAAGAAACAAAAAATTAAAAAATTACAGAATAAAAAACTGTTAAATCGAAAAATCAAGAAGTTGAAAAATGGAAAAATGGAAAAATAAAAACGGAGAAACTAAAAATCGAAAAATAGAAAAGTGTAAAGACGTAAAATTGAAAAATCTAGAAAATGAAAAGTGTAAAATCTAAATATTGAAAAATCGAAAAATTGTAAAATCTAAAAATTGTAAGGTCGAAAAATGGGGAAATTGAAAAATGGAAAAATCGGAAAATTGAACATTCAAAAAATACAATCAATAAATACAAAATCCAAAAACGCTAAAAATTGTGAAATCGAAAAATTGAAAAACGAAAAATGAAAAATCGAAAAACTGAAAAAACCAAGACACTGAAAAAATTAAAAAATTGTAAAACCGAAAAATGGTAAAGTCGAAAAATTGTAAAACCAAAAATTGTAAAATCTAAAAATTGAAAATAGGACATTTTAAGAAACGAAAAATGGAAAACATAAAGTATACAATCTAAAAAATGAAAAACTGAAAACCTGAAAAATCAAAACTTACAATGTTTCGATCGAAAAAACAAGAAATTGAAAAATGAACAATTGGAAAAATGTTAAAACTAAAAAAACTAAAAACTGAAGAAACGAAAAATTAAAAAATTGCAAAATTTACAAATTGTAAGTTCGAAAAATATAAAATCGATAGATTGCAAACTGAAAAATTAAGCAAACAAATACAAAATCCAAAAACGCGTAAAATTGTTAAATCGAAAAGTAGTAAAATCGAAAATTTGTAAGATCGAAAAATTAAAACTGGAGCAAGTAATGATCCAAAAATTGAGAAATAGAAAAATGAAAAAGTATAAAAATTGAAAACCGAAAATTTGCAAACTGAAAAACTGAAGAAACAAAAAATCCAAAAATTGAAAAATTAAAAACCGAGAAATGGATACATAAATTGAAAAACCGAAAACCCGAAAAATCGAAAAAAAAATTTGAGAAATTGAAAAATCGAAAGATTGATAAATAAGTGTAAAATAGGAAAATTGGAAAATATAAAAAACCACAAGTATAAAATGTAAAAAATTGAAAACCGAACAATTAAAGAAACAAAAAATAGAAAATACGAAAGTGTAAAATCTAAAAACTGAAAAATCGAAAAATTGAAAAATCAAAAAACTATTAAATCGAAAAACTGTAAGATCGAAAAATCAAGAAATTGAAAAATCGAAATATGTACTGAAAAATCAAAAATTGAAAAATTGCAAAATTAAAAATCAAACGTTGAAACACTGACGGGACGAAAAAATAAAAAATCAGAAAATTTAAAATTCAAAAAATGTAAAATCGATAAATTGCAAACTGAAAAATTATAGAAACAAAAACAAAAAATTGAAAAACGAAAAATGAAAAATCGAGATATTGAAAAAAAAATCGAAAGACCAAATTAAAAATCGAAAAACTGAAAAAATCAAGAGATTGAAAAAATAAAAAAATTGTAAACCCGAAGAATTGTAAAGTCGAAAAATTGTAAAATCAAAAACAAAAAAGTGTAAAACCTAAAAACTGAATTAAAAAGTTGAAAAATTAAAAATTTGTAAAATTGAAAAATTAAAAATCGGGCAATTGAAAATTCAAAAAATGTAAAATCGATAAATTGCAAACTGAAAAATCGAAGAAGCAAATACAAAATCCACAAACGCGAAAAATTGTGAAATTGAAAAGTAGTAAAATCGAAAGTTTGTAAGATCGAAAAATTATAAAACAAAAACTGAAGAAAACGAAAAAATGAAAATTAAAACTCCAAAAATTGAGAAATAGAAAATGTGAGAAATATAAAAAGTGAAAACCGAAAAATTGCAATCACACTGAAAAATCAAGAAATAAAAAACTGAAACCTCGAAAAATTGAAAAATCTAAAAAACAAAGGTAAAATCAAAAATCTAAAAAATCAAAAAATTGTAAGATCAAAAAATCAACAAATTGAAAAATGAAAAAATTTCAAAATTGAAATATCGAAAAACTGAAGGAACAAAAAATTAAAAAATTCCAAAATTAAAAATCGGGAAAATGCAAAAACGCGAAAGATCGAAAAAAAACTCAAGAAACGAAAAAATGAAACATCGAAAAATTAAAACCTTTGCAACTAAATGATCCAAAAATTGAGAAATCGAAAAATTGAAAAAACCAAGTGACTGAAAACATTAAAAAATTGTAAAACCGAAGAATTGTACAGTCGAAAAATTGTAAAACCGAAAAATTGACGATCGAGAAATCAAGAGATTGGACAATTAAAGAAAAGAAAAATCTAAAAAACGAAGATGTAAAATCTAAAATCTAAAAAATTAAAAAATTGTAAAATCGAAAAACTAAAGAAACAAAAAATTTAAAAATTGCAAAATTAAAAATCGGGAAACTGAAAAAATACGAAAAATTGTGAAATCGAAATGTAGTAAAACCGAAAAAATTGAGAAACAGAAAAAGTGAAAAATATAAAAATTCAAAACCGAAAAATTGAAATTGAAAAACCGATAAAATAAAAAATCGAAAAATTGCAAAATTAAAAACCGAGAAATTGAGAAATTGATACATAATTTGAAAAAACGCAAAATCGAAAAATCGGGAGATAAAAAACCGAAAAACTGAAAACTCGAAAAATTGAAAAATAGAAAAGTGTAAAGTCGGAAAATTGAAAATCGAACAATTAAGAGACGAAAAATCGAAAACACGAAAGTGTAAAATCTAAAATCTTAAAAATCAAAAAGCTGAAAAAACATCGAAAAATTAAAACTCCAGCAACTAAAAGATCCAAAAATTAAGGAATCGAAAAATTAATAAACGAAAAATGATAAATCGAGAAATTGAAAAAATTAAAAAATCAAAAGACGAAGTTTAAAATCGAAAAACTGAAAAAATCAAGTGATTAAAAACATGAAAAAATCGTAAAACCGAAGAATTGTACAGTCGAAAACATGAAAGTCTAAAATGTGAAAAATTGGAAAGCTGAAAAATCAAAAAATTGTAAAATCGAAAAATTATAAGGTCTAGAAATCAAGAAATTGAAAAGTGGAAAAATTTAAAAATTGAAAAATCGAAAAACTGCAGAGACAAAAATTAAAAAATTGCAAAATTAAAAATCGGGAAATTGAAAAATTGAAGAAACGAAAAACTGAAAAATCGGAAAATTGAAAATCAAAAACTAAAGAAACGGAAGAATGAAACAGAAAAATTAAAACACGAGCAAGTGAAAGGTCCAAAAATTGAGAAATATGTAGAAAAAGGAAAAATGTGAAAATTGAAAGATTTCGAAATCTAAAAAAAAAGTATAAAACCAAAAAATTGATAAATCGTAACATGGAAACATTGCAAATCGAAAAATTAAAACATCGAAGAATTAAAAATTGAGAACCTGAAAAATAGAAATACTGCCAAAACGAAAAATTATAAATTCGAAAAATTGAGTAACGAAAAATTGTACAATTGAAAAATTTCTAAATCTAAAAAACGAAAAGTGTAAAATCGAAAAATTGACGGAACGAAAAACTGATTAGTTGGAAAATTCAATGAAGTTCAATCAAGTGAAAAAATGTAAACCAAAACCTCGAAAATTCCAAAACCAAAATTAGAAACTAACCCTAAAATCAACAAGAAACTTCTGACGTTTTGGTCTGGCACCTCGTTCTCGAAATTTCGAAAATACTTCATAACGTGTCCACATTTAAGCCGACTTATCAGCTTTTTAAGTAATTTATGCACTGCAATAAATGCACAGGAAACTTCACTCAATATTTCTGTTTAGGTAAGTGCTTCTGTGACAGTGATTTCTGTCTCCAGATAAGAACGACGTGGACATTTGAATAGTAATTAGGCACTCTGGTACTTACATTTTGCAGAAAATTACAGCCAAAACAACTCAAACCCTCTTCAAGAAAAACCTGACTTCACTAAACAAAACATAAAATTAGTAAAAAAAAAATGAAACTAACCTTTTTTGAATGCGAAAGTTTGTGATACATTAAAGCCATAATTTAACACCTTGCTTGAATTAGGATGAACGTACGACATGAAGTGCAAGAATGATTCAGCTACAACTTTTCCCGAGCAAGTGATAAATTTTTAGTTCCTTTTGGATAATAACAGGTTTTATTGATATTATATATTCACACAACAATTACAGTGTTGTTGTCATTGTTGTTGTTATTCTTGTCAGTTTTTTACTCCTAGTGTCCGCAAACAATATCAAACAAATTATTCATATTTCGTATTAGAAATCCGCAAGAACAATAAAGGTGAATTCGTATTTAAAAACACGACAATCTGAATACTTACGGTGGTGTGTTTAAATAAATTGCGCTTGATAACCATTTTTCCGTTTAGTTGCTATTTTTGGCAGACATTTTTAGAATTTATAGCACATTAATTTTGAATCCAGTGACGCCAACCGTAGCACGTAAAACACAGCCAACTGTAATCAAGATATTTTTGACTGCACGATATCGAACTACTTGTGTTCCATCAATAACACAATGTAGTTCACCGATTTTATATAGTTTTAAGAAATCATAACACCCCCTATAAAATAATAAATCGTTTAAAACGCAATTTTTCACAGAATCATCTATGTGTAATTTAATTACTTCCTGCATCCACGGATTTTCCGATTTCGTAGCTCAAATACTGACAGTTTTAAAAATACAAGACCTAAACACGGGGTGACTTTCGAATTCTTGACAATGCTGTATAACTGGTTGCCTACCACTATAATTAAATTAATTAATAAATATCTTCGTTGTTATCAGAAGCAACGTTTGATTAGTCGTCTGCATTCCTTGTTAACGTCAATCTATTTATCAAGTTTTGTCGCCGCAAATCCAACCTGAATCACATCCTCAATGTACTTTTTCATTGTACCAATTTCAAATAAAAATCAACCAGCCAACACACATCGAACTTCACTAAACACTACCAGTTCAAACTGCACTGTGTTCCGCAAACACCCACTAACTCCCTTCCGCTAAGAAAAAACGTGTCATAAATAAATATATGGCTCGACCTAAAATACGCGAAAACACAATTAACCCAACAATGGCAAAACTGTTAGAACCAATCAAATCAATGTAATTGTTCCATTCTCCACTTAATTTGTGCTAAACACAAACATAAATACGGTTTCTCCTAAAATCTTTCATTAATGGATTGTAGCTAGAAGTCCTAAGTGAAAAACAACGGATTCTCAAGAATTTTGAGGTTATGTTGACTCACCTATTTTAGACGCTTGAAATAACTTCCTGGCAAAGATGGGGCTCTGAAGATGAGTTTAATGCCGAGCGAAATTTACATGATCGACTTGTAACTAGTCCATGGTTGTAAACATATTAACTGACACTTCCACTCCACAAGAACAAGAATGATGTTTGAACAGCTGATTCACGTCATAGTTCACCGATTATTGCGGTGTACAGAGTGGCGTAATAAAAATATTTACACTGTGGAAACAAAAACACTGGCAGTTCTGGCGACAAAAAAATATGTCATAGTTGAAGCTGTCTTTAGTATTCAGTCGTACAAAACTGATGTCATCATTAAGAAAAAAATTTGAGAAAAATGTATAATTGGTCTATTTTAATTTGTAAATGATATTCGTGAAGTTGGCTGATTTCATGGTCAGTTTTACGCCCTTCGCTCATGCTTATCTCCTCAGTCGGGATGTCCAAAGGTCCGAAAACATGCAATTAACCTAATGTACCGGTTCTTAACAGTTGGCGCCGGCGCTAGTCGAGCACTATCATATTTCTCGTTACAAACAAGCAAATTGTACGTCAGCGACAGGAGTCTAGACAGATGCCACCCTCCAAGACCGGAATTCCTTCCCGGTGGCTAATAAAATTCGCTGTTAGAAATCTGTGAAAACGTTCTAATAGCTGTGGGTATATATTTCTCAGATTATATTACAATGTACACACTGTTAGAAATGAATAATTTATATATAAATATCGTTCCAGATTTCCATGACTGATTATTTTGATTGACACTTATTAATGATATATAGAATTATAACTATATTGTAAAAAAAACAAAAAATAAATCGTGTCATGCACATTTCTAGTGAAATTCTCTTAATAAAATTTTACAGTGACGTCATTAGTTTCAAGGAAAGGATTAATCAACAAACAGTTTGTTAGCTTTACGATAATATAATTTCTGTTTCGAAGATTATCTCTCAAAAAAATTCCAACATCTGAACCGCAAGTCACCGATGGAAATTAGCAAGATGTATTTTTACCACGAACCATAAAACCATTAAAATTGCATAATCATTTGTTAAAGTAAAACTATTTCCCCTTAAAATTTAATTCGTGGCTTGAAAATTTGTAATAGATTATTTGTTGAAGTGACCATCAAATTAAAACGTTGGTTCAAAGTTGTTTCGACAGAACTTTCCTCGCTTCTGAAGTACAGTCCAACAAATACGGTTTCTCTGAAAAATTATAAAGTTTGATTTTGGAGAATTTTACTTTTTCGTGATAACCTCTGTGCAGTAAAAACAATACAGAAGGAACTAGTCACAATGTAATAGAAAAAAAAAGGTTTCATATTCTTAAAAAAAAAGACATTTGGGGCCCCCGAAAAGATTTCACATTCTTAGAAAGAGTTGGGACCCCCAAGAAGGTTTTACATTTTTAAAAAAAGAGAGTTAGGTCCCGGAGAAGGTTTCACACTCTAAAAAAAAAACATTTGGCGCCCATTAGATGATTTTACATTTATAAAAAAGACCGTTGGGACATCCGAGAAGGTTTCACATTCTTAAAAGTATACATTTGGGGCCTCCGAGAAGGTTTTACATTAAAAAAAAAACAGTTAGGACCCTCGACAAGGTTTCACATTTAAAAAACTTGACATTTGCCGCCCTCGAGAAGGACTCACATTACAAAAAAAAAACAGTTGAGAAGATTTCACATTCTTAAAAAAAAAGACATTTGGGCCCCCCGAGAAAGTTTCATATTCTTAAACAAATACACTTGGGGCCCCCGAAAACGTTTCACGACCATTTTTACAAAACAAGAGTTGGGACCCCCAAGAAGGTTTTACATTTTTAAAAAGAAAAATTTGGCGTCTCCTTGAATGATTTACATTGTTAAATAAATACATTTGGAGCCCCTAAGAAGATTTTGCATTTTTAAAAAAAGACAGGTGGAACCCCGAGAAAGTTTCACATTAAAAAATAGGCAGTTGGAGCCCTCCGAGAAGGTTTCATATTCTTAAGAAAAGTGATTTGGCGCCCTCGTGAAGGTTTCCCATTAAAAAAAAGAATTTTGGAGCTCCCGAGAAGGTTTTACATTTTTAATAAAGACAGCTAAGACCCCGGAGAAGGTTTCACATTCTAAAGAAAGACATTTGGCGCCCCCGAGAAGATTTTACATTAAAAAAAAAAACCACTTGGGACCTCCGAGAAGGTTTTACATTGTTAAAAAGACAGTTGGAACCCCCAAGAAGGTTCCACATTAAAAAAAATACATTTGGGGCCCCTGAGAATATTTTGTATTTTTAAAAAAGACATGTGGAACCCCGAGAAGATTTCATATTAAAAATAGGCGTTTGGAGCCCCCGAGAAGGTTTTACATTTTTAAAAAATGATACTTGGGGCCACCGAGAAAGTTTCACTTTCTTAAAAAAAGACATCTGGCGCCCCCGAAAAGGTTTCACATTAAAAAAAAAGAATTTCGGAGGCCCCGAGAAGGTTTTACTTCTTTAAAAAAAGACAGTTGGGACCACAGAGAAGATTTCACATTCTTAATAAAAGACATTTGGGGCCCCCAAAAAGGTTCATATTCTTAAAACAATGCACTTGGAGCCCCCGAGAAGGTTTCACATTCTTAAAAAATATATAATTGGGGCTCCTGACGAGGTTTTACATTCTAAAAAAAAAACATTTGGGACCCCCAAGAAGGTTTTAGATTTTTAAAAAAGACTGTTAACCCCTGGAAAAAGTTTCACAATTTAAAAAGAAAAATTTGGCATCCCCTAGAAGGTTTTACATTTTTAAAAAGATCAGTTAGGATCCCCGAGAATGTTCACATTCTTAAAGAATACATTTGGGGCCCCTGAGAAGATTCTGCATTTTTAAAAAAGATAGGTAGAACCCCGAGAAGATTTCATATTAAAAAAAAAGGCATTTGGAGCCCTCGAGAAGGTTTTACATTTTTAAAAAAAGATACCTAGGGCCTCCGAAAAGGTTTTACATCTTTAAAAAAGACAGTTGGGACCCCAGAGAAGATTTCACCTCTTTTACAAAAGGACAGTTGGGACCCCCGAGAAGGTTTCACAATCTTAAAAAAAAACATTTGGTACCCCTGCCATGGTCTTATATTCTTAAAAAAAGATAGTTGGAACCCCCAAGAAGGTTTTACATTTTGAAAAAAGATCAGTTAGTATCCTCGAGAATGTTTCATATTCTTAAAAAAATACATTTGGGGCCTCTGAGAATATTTTGTATTTTTAAAAAAGATATGTGGAACCCCGAGAAGGTTTCACATTAAAAACAGGCGTTTGGAGCCCCGAGGAGGTTTTACATTTTTAAAAAAAGATACTTGGGGCCCCCGAGAAGGCTTCATTTTCTTAAAAAAAGACATTTGGCGCCCCCGAGAAAATTTCACATTAAAAAAAAATGTTGGAGACTCCGAGAAGGTTTTACTTCTTTAAAAAAGACAGTTGGGACCCCAGTGAAGATTTCACATTCTTAAAAAAAGACATTTAGGGCATCCGAGAACGTTTCATATTCTTAAAAAAATACACTTGGAGCCCCCGAGAAATTTTCTCATTCTTAAAAAAAACATTTAGGGCCCCTGACAAAGTTTTACATTCTAAAAAAAAAAAACATTTCGGACCCCCAAGAAGGTTTTAGATTTTTAAAAAAGACTGTTAAGCCCTGGAAAAAGTTTGACAATTTAAAAAAAAAATTTGGCGTCCCCTAGAAGGTTTTACATTTTTAGAAAAGATAGGTAGAACCCCGAGAAGATTTCATATTAAAAAATAGGCATTTGGAGCCCTCGAGAAGGGTTTACATTTTTAAAAAAAGATACTTAGGGCATCCGAGAAGGTTTCATATTTTTAAGAAAACACATTTGGCGCCCTCGTGAAGGTTTCACATTAAAAAAAGAATTTTGGAGCTCCCGAGAAGGTTCTACATCAAAAAAAAAGACAGTTGGGACCCCAGAGAAGATTTCACCTATTTTTCAAAAGGACAGTTGGGACCCCCGAGAAGCTTTCACAATCTTAAAAAAAAAAACATTTGGTACCCCTGGCACGGTTTTATATTCTTAAAAAAAGACAGTTGGGACCCCCAAGAAGATTTTACATTTTGAAAAAAGTTCAGTTAGGATCCTCGAGAATGTTTCATATTCTTAAAAAAATACATTTGGGGCCCCTGAGAAGATTTTGTATTTTTAAAAAAGACAGGTGGAACCCTGAGAAGGTTTCACTTTAAAAACAGACGTTTGGAACCCCCGAGAAGGTTTTACATTTTTAAAAAAAGATTCTTGGGGCCTCCGAGAAGGTTTCACTTTCTTAACAAAAGACATTTGGCGCCCCCGAGAAGGTTTCACATTAAAAAAAAAAAAGAATTTCGGAGGCCCCGAGAAGGTTTTACTTCTTTAAAAAAAGACAGTTGGGACCACAGAGAAGATTTCACATTCTTAATAAAAGACATTTGGGGCCCCCAAAAAGGTTCATATTCTTAAAAAAATACACTTGGAGCCCCCGAGAAGGTTTCACATTCTTAAATAAAAAAACATTGGGGCCCCAGACGAGGTTTTACATTCTAAAAAAAAAAACATTTGGGATCCCCAAGAAGGTTTTAGATTTTTAAAAAAGACTGTTAAGCCCCAGAAAAATTTGGCGTACCCTAGAAAGTTTTACATTTTTAAAAAGATCAGTTAGGATCACCGAGAATGTTCACATTCTTAAAGAATACATTTGGGGCCCCTGAGAAGATTTTGCATTTTTAAAAAAGATAGGAAGAACCTCGAGAAGGTTTCATATTAAAAAATATGCATTTGGAGCCCCCGAAAAGGGTTTACATTTTTAAAAAAAGATACTTAGGGCCTCCGAGAAGGTTTCATATTCTTAAGAAAAGACATTTGGCGCCCTCGTGAAGGTTTCACATTAAAAAAAGGAATTTTGGAGCTCCCGAGACGGTTTTACATCTTTAAAAAAAGACAGTTGGGACCCCAGAGAAGATTTCACCTATTTTTCAAAAGGACAGTTGGGACCCCCGAGAAGGTTTCACAATCTTAAAAAAAAAAACATTTGATACCCCTGACACGGTTTTATATTCTTAAAAAAAGATTTTGTATTTTTAAAAAAGACAGGTGGAACCCCGAGAAGGTTTCACATTAAAAATAGGCGTTTGGAGCCCCCGAGGAGGTTTTACATTTTTAAAAAAAGATACTTGGGGGCCTCCGAAAAGGTTTCATTTTCTTAAAAAAAGACATTTGGCGCCCTCGAGAAAGTTTCACATTAAAAAAAAAAAAATTTGGAGACCCCGAGAAGGTTTTACTTCTTTATAAAAGACAGTTGGGATCCCAGAGAAGATTTCACATTCTTAAAAAAAGACATTTGGGGCCCCCCAGAAAGTTTTACATCTTTAAAAAAATAATAGTTGGGACCCCAGAGAACATTTCACCTATTTTTCAAAAGGACAGCTGGGACCCCCGAGAAGGTTTCACAGTCTTAAAAAAAACATTTGGTACCCCTGACACTGTTTTATATTCTTAAGAAAAGACAGTTGGGACCCTCAAGAAGGTTTTACATTTTGAAAAAAAATTAGTTAGGATCCTCGAGAATGTTTCATATTCTTAAAAAAATACACTTGGAGCCCCCGAAAAATTTTCTCATTCTTAAAAAAAAAAACATTTGGGGCCCCTGACGAGGTTTTACATTCTAAAAAAAACATTTGGGACCCTCAAGAAGGTTTTAGATTTTTAAAAAAGACTGTTAAGCCCTGGAAAAAGTTTCACAATTTAAAAAGAAAAATTTGGCGTCCCCTAGAAGGTTTTACATTTTTAAAAAGATCAGTTAGGATCCCCGAGAATGTTCACATTCTTAAAGAATACATTTGGGGCCCCTGAGAAGATTTCGCATTTTTAAAAAAGATAGGTAGAACCTCGAGAAAGTTTCATATTAAAAAATAGGCATTTGGAGCCCCCGAGAAGGGTTTACATTTCTAAAAAAAGTTACTTGGGGCCTCCGAGAAAGTTTCATGCTCTTAAAAAAAGATATTTGGCGCCTCCGAGAAGGTTTCACATTAAAAAAAAAGAATTTTGGAGCCCCAAGAAGATTTCACCTTTCTAAAAATAGTCATTTGGGGCCCTTAGAAAGTTTTATATTTAAAAAAAAAATACACTTGGGCCCCAGAGAAGGTTTCACGTTCTCAAAAAAAAAAAAAAAAAACATTTGGGGCCCCTGACAAGGTTTTACGTTCTTAAAAAAACAGTTGGGACCCCCAAGAAGATTTTACATTTTTAAAAAAGACTGTTAAGCCCCGGAGAAAGTTTCACATTTTAAAAAGAAAAATTTGGCATCCCCTAGAAGGTTTTACATTTTTAATAAGATCAGTTAGGATCCCCGAGAATTTTCACATTCTTAAAAATACATTTGGGGCCCCTGAGAAGATTTTGCGTTTTTAAAAAAGATAGGTAGAACCCCGAGAAGGTTTCATATTAAAAAATAGGCATTTGGAGCCCTCGAGAAGGGTTTACATTTTTAAAAAAAGATACTTAGGGCCTCCGAGAAGGTTTCATATTTTTAAGAAAACACATTTGGCGCCCTCATGAAGGTTTCACATTAAAAAAAAGAATTTTGGAGCTCCCGAGAAGGTTTTACATCTTTAAAGAAAGATAGTTGGGGCCCCAGAGAACATTTCACCTATTTTTCAAAAGGACAGTTGGGACCCCCGAGAAGGTTTCACAATCTTAAAAAAAAAAAACATTTGATACCCCTGACACGGTTTTATATTCTTAAAAAAAACAGTTGGGACCCCCAAGAAGGTTTTACCTTTTGAAAAAAGATCAGTTAGAATCCTCGAGAATGTTTCATATTTTTAAAAAAATACATTTGGGGCCCCTGAGAAGATTTTGTATTTTTAAAAATGACAGGTGGAACCCCGAGAAGGTTTCACATTAAAAATAGGCGTTTGGAGCCCTCGAGAAGGGTTTACATTTTTAAAAAAAGACACTTAGGGCCTCCGAGAAGGTTTCATATTTTTAAGAAAACACATTTGGCGCCCTCGTGAATGTTTCACATTAAAAAAAAGAATTTTGGAGCTCCCGAGAAGGTTTTACATCTTTAAAAAAGATAGTTGGGACCCCAGAGAACATTTCACCTATTTTTCAAAAGGACATTTGGGACCCCCGAGAAGGTTTCACAGTCTTAAAAAAAAACATTTGGTAACCCTGACACGGTTTTATATTCTTAAGAAAAGACAGTTGGGACCCTCAAGAAGGTTTTACATTTTGAAAAAAAATTAGTTAGGATCCTCGAGAATGTTTCATATTCTTAAAAAAAATACATTTGGGGCCCCTGCGAAGATTTTGTATTTTTAAAAAAGACATATGGGGCCCCGAGATGGTTTCACATTAAAAAGAAAAGGAATTTGGAGCCCCAGAGAAGGTTTTACATCTTTAAAAAAAGACAGTTGGGACCTCAGTGAAGATTTCACATTCTTAAAAAAAGACATTTGGGGCCCCCGAGAAAGTTTCATATTCTTTAAAAAAATACACTAGGTGCCCTTGACAAGGTTTTACATTAAAAAAAAGACTGAAGGTTTCATATTAAAAATAGGCGTTTGGAACCCCCAAGAAGTGTTTACATTTAAAAAAAAAGACACTTGGGCCTCGGAGAGGGTGTCATATTCTTAAAAAAAGGCATTTGGCGCCCCCGAGATGATTTCACATTAAAAAATAGAGTTTTGGAGCCCCGAGAAGGTTTTACATCTTTAAAAAAGGACAGTTGGGGCCCCCGAGAAGACTTCACATTTTAAAAAAAAGACAGTTGGGACTCCTGAGAAGATTTCATATTCTTAAAAAAAGACATTTGGAGCCGCCGAGAAGGTTTCATATTCTTAAAAAAAAAAGACATTTGCCCCACTCCCAGAAGGTTTCACATTAAAAAAAAGAAATTTGGAGCCCCCGAGAAGATTTTACATCTTTAAAAAAAGACAGTTGAGACCCCCTGGAAGGTTGCACATTCTTAAAAAAAGACTGTTGGAACCCCCAAGAAGGTTTTATATTTTTAAAAAAGATTGTTGAGACCCCCGAGAGGTTTCACATTCTTAAAAAATAAAACATTTGGCGCGTCAAAAAGGTTTTACATTTTTAAATAACAAGGGGCGTATTCTCACCTTTTCGAGAAAGTGGGGTAATTTTATCAATAAAAATTTTGTTATGACTTCATAAACAATGCGAGTGAAGAGAAAAAAAAAAGAAACAAAAACAAAAGGGTTTAAAATCCAGATGTCGAGCGTAAAAAGTCAAGGCGCATTCATAAACCACAAGTGCAGGAGTATGTTATTTTATAAAATTTAAATATGGCAAAATTAAGTGAACTAAATATAAACAAAAATTGTTCAGAAATGTAAGCCGATTTCAGTGATTATCTTTTAACAACAGGTTTTGCTGAAAGTCAACAAGGGTCAATAATTGTGTACCTACCTAAAGTAAAAATTTAACTCGAAAATCCTGGATATGTTTCATTGTATTTTAGGTGCGAGGGAAGTTCTGTCGAAACAACTTTCCACCAAATTTTTTGTGCTGTTATATTTGAACATAAACAGTTTATTTTATATATTTTTAAAACATTATAAAGAAAATAAAAAGTTGTATTAGACTGAACCTTATGGGTTTCTCAATCTATTTTCCGCAGAATTTTAAACTTTCAACTCAATTTCTTTCAAAATAAAGATTGTCCAGAATTATATGAATTTTATGGACTCCCAAAGTTAATTTGTTTTACAGCCCTGTTGTCAGTTTTATTGTTTAGCTGAAGAGCGGGGCGAACTCAGGTACAGAGAAGATCGGCTTTCCCCTGACAGGCTATTTACCTGTACAATAGAATTGACGCCTGAGCTGTGAAACAAATTAACGTTGGGAGTCCATAAAATTCTTATAATTCTGGACAAACTTTACAAACAAATGGATTTCGATGGTTATTTCCCTGTACCCTTCATTTGAAAATAAATAAGCTTATCTGTGTTTTTACCGATTTGCATTTTATGACGGACTCCCTACAGTGACCATAATCTCTCGTGTTTTTGGGTCGGCACCTGGGATAGCTCGACTGGGGACCCCTAATCCATTCCTAAATAAGCTGCGGTATTTCAGCAAATTTCCAAAGATTAGTTATAAATAAACTAGGCTTAAAATATTTCGCTCATTCGTCTAAAAAAACCAAATTTGTACTCATTTTCAATCCGATGATCATTAAAAAAGCGATTGAGATACTTATCGGACTTAATCTACTAGATATTATTTAGCACACTTTAAAATAAAATAAGTGCCACATACCTGTTCATTGGAAAATTTTTGTGACCCGTCCCATATCAATATTCTAAAATTATCTTTGGTTTTATCTTTTTAGTGCGAGATATACTAGATTTATAAAAAAATTTACTTCCCGAGCGTAAGAGAGTACGAAGAAATAGATCTCTCGCTTCCGTCTGTCTGTCTGTCCGTCTGGCCAATCGTAAAATTTTTTTGCGAAATAAATCGTATCTAAAATGTCCAAATATGATGAGTTGATTCATATTTTTTCGATTTACTTACACAGCGTGACTCAAAAGTTCTGTCGAAACAACTTTCGATCAATTTTTTTAGTGTTCAAGTTTATAAATAAAAATCCATTTTCCATTTTCAATTAATTATACTTTCTTTGGAATTTACAGTAGTTACGTAAAATATGATAAATCTACATGGTTTTTGAAAAAAAAATCTTCTTTTTCATAGAGAACTTTTAATTAACTTTATAAACATATAGGAACAGAACTTAATAACATAACTTTATACAGAGGTAATTGTATCGTCCTTAAGCTTAGTATCACAGTTACGTAAACCTGAAATAAATAACTAAATAAACGCAGTTATATTTATCCGTCAAACCAAATAATCGTCTAAAAATATAGTTGCGGTTTTCAAATAATGAATTTTCACCAGTTCTAACTGTGAATTATAACTGCGTTTTACAATCAACACACACTCAACTATTAATAATTCCATTAATCGAAAAATCTGTAATTTTCTTTGGTTTTTTAACTTCTTCCTGCCTATTTACGTAATACGCGGGAGCCCTATATGAGTACGGATAATACACAGGAACTGTAGGCGGCCAGTAGTACTGGGGATATATCGGATACGGCGAATAATAATATCTGTCATAAAGCGAATAAACCGACATCGCTCTTCTTTGGCTTTCCACCTCATCCCGTTCCACCATCTCCGGGGGCGGCGGCGACGGCGTCGCGCTTCTCTTACTACTAGGCGAATCCGGAGCCTCACTCCCTTGCTTCCTCTTACTATGCGACTTCCCGTTCTCCCGAAACCCTTTCGCAAAAGGATTGTAATTAATCTTGAGTTTCGTAACCCTCTCGTTCTGATAAGCCGTAACAGCAATGAATTGCGTTTCAGGGAAAACAATGCTCTTGGTGGGACCCCAGCGCAGGGCTTGAGGATTGGGGTGCTTGACCAGGAAAATCCTGGGTTGGTACTTGTGCATGGAGGACAGAATCAATTGTCCCGATGGCGCCTTGCAGGCGTTGGTGATTTTAATCTTGGCGAAGGAGACGTTCTCCTCCATCCAGAAGCTTCCAAGGGCGGGTGAGCTCGGGTGCATGTAGATGCGTTCAGAGCTTTGGGATTCCTCCTGGCCTGCTGGGGACCAACCGCCGGCGGAGGAGAATTTGAAGCGACAACGGTTGGATAGGGCCATCTCGAGGAAGACGCAGTAGTGGGCCTTTGGATCGAGGTTGGAGATTTTAACCACCAAGTGGGGGAACATATTTCTGAAAAAAAAACACCAGATTAAATAAAATAAATAAAAAAATTGATTTACTAGTTGTTGTTTTTTATCAAGGCGGCTTCATAAACCACAAATAGAATTTAGTCAGTAGCGAACATAATAGAGACTTTTACCCAAAAATCGCAGCTTCATTGTTCATTTGACTGTGTATTGGCAAACACTATGAAATGGTACTCTTATGTAAAGTTTAACACCCGACTTGAGGGTTAAAGAAGCCGCCCAACTGTGCTACGCAGAATTGAAAAGATGAGACAGTGACCACCCCGGCTTAAGCCGCAGTCAAAAGAGCCGACAATACACACATCTTTGTCGTAAATTCGCCACAAGTGCCGCTGTTTTAGTACAGTTTCTCACACTTTCCCGGAAACTGGTAAATCACCATAATCAAAAATCAATTCAGCGTTTCCGGAAACGTGCCATCTGACCAATTCCTCAGATTATAATTAAGAAAACAAAGAGGCGGCAGTCACATCTGCTGCCACTCTTATTTGGTAAAACCTGGCGCCGTCACCGACAGACAAACAAGACAGTCATCAGGGTGTAATTTACAATAAAATAAAGCCCAGGTAAAGTCGCAAAAATTTCGAGATTGAAATCACTCATCAAACTAGACTTAGTTTTAAATATTTACTGGGTTTTTGTTAGGGTGTTGGCGCCTGTCATCAAAGAATTAACAAAGGGATGTTTAACACGCGAGAGCTACCACATGTTGAGTGCGAAATATCAAGATAATGTAAACATTGTCGATTTGGGGCCTTAAACAAAATAATAACTTCCCGTTACTGGCCTGACCTAAAATAATAAAATCCGGTAAACAGGCGAAGAGATGTCGTAAATATTTAAAATAGGGGAGGGTTGGGCTTGAGGGTGCAAAGTACCTGCACTAAAACCCCAGATTATTTTATGGACGGGTTGCAATTAAACACTCAACTTTAAAAGGAAAATGCGGTTTCAGAATTACCGGATTAGGGCTGTAAATCACTCATTGTGGGCACCTGAGTTTCGGAAAATCCAATTTACGTTATCATTGTTATCATTCGAACGAAAGGAGAATAGAAAAGTACCGAAATACCTTTGAAGTCTGGTCATACTTGCTAACACTAAACGATAGTCGAGGGTGACGAACTGACTTTGTGAGATACCGACAATTTTTCCGAGTGTCAAAAAAAAAATTACCTTCCAAGCTTCGTAATAATCATCTCCGTTCCTATATTGTGAAACTGTCCCCACAAGTCCTTGTTAACCAGCCGAACTTCGGCCTTCTCGACCGGACAACCCGGAGAAGGATCTATAACACAAAATCACGGTTATTCAAAATTTTCCAAAAATCGCGGTTTCTTTACCACTGTAAAAATACTCCCGAGGAACAGGTCTATCCACTACGACCATTTCCGGATTCATTTTCGAAGACTACTAGCAATGTTCGACACGATATTTTGGCACAGCACTCACTTTGAAATAAACACAGAGATTTAACAACCACCCTTAAATAGGTACTGGCTAAGCATGTCGTTTCGTTTTGGCAAAGTGGGGATAAGGAGGGTCGTACCCAGTGACGAAATGTGTACTAGCCCACCCCCTGCTGAGCTTCATTATGGTCTTATTAGTCATTTAAACTGGCGATTTGTCGATAAGTACTTACTTATGACTATGAGGTTGATAATGATACCGTCGTTGGCAAAACATGTTGCATTGATAGCGCTAGGTCAACGGGTTATCGTGGTAATTTTGCAGTTGTGTTTTTGTACGAGATTGGGATTTTTGATGATGGATTTAAGGCAAGCTTTTCTGTAAACTTGTATCAAATAATGATAAAAATTTTGAGATTTCGGCGTGAAAAATATTTACGGTTTTAAATTTTGGATAAATGACACAAGCACTTTCCTGGAGACAAAAATACGTATTTTGATTGGGAATGTTAAAAAATAAGTTAGCAGAATTGTGGCAGTTGTGTACAACTAATTATTGTTCTTTGAACCAGAAACGTCAGCTTTTTTTATTTATTTATTTTCGTCCAACATATTTATTATGAATTTTGTTTTATTTAAAAATTCTAGAAGCTTCAATCTGGCCCATATGTTCCATTATAAGTTTTTTGTTATTTCAGAAAAAAGTATTCCAGACCGTATTATTCAATGAAACATTTTTAACTTTAAATTTAAAACTAGAAGAAATTAAAAGTAGTTTTAGACATTTGAATTTAACGAAAAAAGGCGAAAGGAAAATTATCCTGATTGAAAATATTTATGGTGATCAAAAAATAATATGATCGATATTTTCAAATTCACTTTTGGGTGTTTTTTCCAACTGATCGTATACGAAACAAGTTATACTTTTTGGGCAGATGAATCAAATAAATTAATTTGATGACACGTAATTTACTGATTATTTCAGAAGTAAATGATTTAATTTTTCTAGTATTCTAAGAACAACATAATATTATGAATATGATCAGTGTTACATTGTACATATCAAAATTAATGTTAATTCTCAGTAAAAAATGTAATATCAAAAAGTTATTCGTTTGAACTGAAAAGGCCAACTTTAAATTTAAAACTAGGAAAAATTAGAAATAGTTTTACACAGTTGAGTTTAACAAAAAAGACGAAAAGGAAAATTATCCTGATTGAAATATAATTATGGTGATCAAAAAATAATATGATCGATATTTTCAAATTCACTTCTGGGTGTTTTTCCCAAATGATCGTATACGAAACAAGTTATACTTTTTGGGCAGATGAATCAAATAAATTAATTTGATGTCATACGTAATTTACTGATTATTTCAGAAGTAAATGATTTAATTTTTCTAGTATTCTAAGAACAACATAATATTATGAATATGATCAGTGTTACATTGTACATATCAAAATTAATGTGAATCCTCAGTAAAAAATGTAATATCAAAAAGTTATTCATTTGAACTGAAATGGCCACCTTTAAATTTAAAACTAGGAAAAATTAGAAATTGTTTTAGACATTTGAGTTTAACAAAAAAAGACGAAAAGGAAAATGATCCTGATTGAAATATAATTATGGTGATCAAAAAATAATATGATCGATATTTTCAAATTCACTTCTGGGTGTTTTTTCCAACTGATCGTATACGAAACAAGTTATACTTTTTGAGCAGATGAATCAAATTAATTAATTTGATGACATACGTAATTTACTGATTATTTCAGAAGTAAATGATTTAATTTTTCTAGTATTCTAAGAACAACATAATATTATGAATATGATCAGTGTTACATTGTACATATCAAAATTAATGTTAATTCTCAGTAACAAATGTAAGATCAAAAAGTTATTCATTTGAACTGAAATGGCCAACTTTAAATTTAAAACTAGGAAAAATTAGAAATAGTTTTACACATTTGAGTTTAACAAAAAGAGACGAAAAGGAAAATTATCCTGATTGAAAAATAATTATGGTGAACAAAAAATAATATGATCGATATTTTCAAATTCACTTCTGGGTGTTTTTTCCAACTGATCGTATACGAAACAAGTTATACTTTTTGGGCAGATGAATCAAAGAATATAATTTGATGACATACGTAATTTACTGATTATTTCAAAAGTAAATGATTTGATTTTTGTAGCATTCTAGAAACATCATAACATTATGATCAGTGTTACATTGTACATATCAAAATTAATGTTAATCCTCAGTAAAAAATGTATTATCAAAAAGTTATTCATTTGAACTGAAATGGCCATCTTCAAGTTTAAAACTAGGAAAAATTAGAAATTGTTTTAGACATTTGAGTTTAACAAAAAAAGACGAAAAGGAAAATGATCCTGATTGAAATATAATTATGGTGATCAAAAAATAATATGATCGATATTTTCAAATTCACTTCTGGGTGTTTTTCCCAAATGATCGTATACGAAACAAGTTATACTTTTTGGGCAGATGAATCAAATAAATTAATTTGATGTCATACGTAATTTACTGATTATTTCAGAAGTAAATGATTTAATTTTTCTAGTATTCTAAGAACAACATAATATTATGAATATGATCAGTGTTACGTTGTACATATCAAAATTAATGTTAATCTTCAGTAAAAAATGTAATATCAAAAAGTTATTCATTTGAGCTGAAATGGCCAACTTTAAATTTAAAACTAGGAAAAATTAGAAATAGTTTTAGACATTTGGGTTTAACAAAAAAAGACGAAAAGGAAAATTATCCTGATTGAAATATAATTAGGGTGCTCAAAAAATAATATGATCGATATTTTCAAATTCACTTCTGGGTGTTTTTTCCAACTGATCGTATACGAAACAAGCTATACTTTTTGGGCAGATGAATCAAAGAAATTAATTTGATGACATACGTAATTTACTGATTATTTCAGAAGTACATGATTTAATTTTTCTAGTATTCTAAGAACAACATAATATTATGAATATGATCAGTATTACGTTGTACATATCAAAATTAATGTTAATTCTCAGTAAAAAATGTAATATCAAAAAGTTATTCATTTGAACTGAAATGGCCAACTTTAAGTTTAAGACTAGGAAAAATTAGAAATAGTTTTACACATTTGAGTTTAACAAAAAAAGACGAAAAGGAAAATTATCCTGATTGAAATATAATTATGGTGATCAAAAAATAATATAATCGATATTTTCAAATTCACTTCTGGGTGTTTTTTCCAACTGATCGTATACGCAACAAGTTATCATTTTTGGGCAGATGAATTAAAGAAATTAATTTGATCACATACGTAATTTACTGATTATTTCAGAAGTAAATGATTTAATTTTTCTAGTATTCTAAGAACAACATAATATTATGAATATGATCAGTGTTACATTGTACATATCAAAATTAATGTTAATCCTCATAAAAAAAGTAATATCAGAAAGTTATTCATTTGAACTGAAATGGCCAACTTTAAATTTAAAACTCGGAAAAATTAGAAATAGTTTTACACATTTGAGTTTAACAAAAAAGACGAAAAGGAAAATTATCCTGATTGAAATATAATTATGGTGATCAAAAAATAGTATGATCGATATTTTCAAATTCACTTCTGGGTGTTTTTTCCAACTGATCGTATACGAAATAAGTTATACTTTTTGAGCAGATGAATCAAAGAAATTAATTTGATGGCATACGTAATTTACTGATTATTCCAGAAGTAAATGATTTAATTTTTCTAGTATTCTAAGAGCAACATAATATTATGAATATGATCAGTGTTACATTGTACATATCAAAATTAATGTTAATCCTCAGTAAAAAATGTAATATCAAAAAGTTATTCATTTGAACTGAAATGGCCAATTTTAAATTTAAAATTGGGAAAAATTAGAAGTAGCTTTAGACATTTGAATTTAACGAAAAAATACAAAAAGGAAAATTATCCTGATTGAAAATATTTATGGTGATCAAAAAATAATATGATCGATATTGTTAAATTCATTTCTGGGCGTTTTTTCCAACTGATCGTACGAAACAAGTTATACTTTTTGGACAGAGGAATCAAAGAACTTTTGACTAAAATGGCAAACTTTAAATTTAAAACAGAAGTAGTTTTAAACAATTGAATTTAACGAAAAAAGACGAAAAAGAAAATTATCCTGATTGAAAATAATTATGGCGATCAAAAAATAATATGATCGATATTTTCAAATTCACTTCTGGGCGTTTTTTTCAACTGATCGTACGAAACAAGTTATACTTTTTGGACAAAGGAATAAAAAAAAATTAATTTGATGACATACGTAATTTATTGATTATTTTAGAAGTAAATGATTTAATTTTTCTAAAATTCTAAGAACATCATAACATTGTGATCAGTGTTACATTGTACATATCAAAATTAATGTTAAACCTCATTAAAAAAAGTGATATCAGAAAGTTATTCATTTGAACTGAAATGGCCAATTTTAAATTTAAAATTGGGAAAAATTAGAAGTAGCTTTAGACATTTGAATTTAACAAAAAAATACAAAAAGGAAAATTATCCTGATTGAAAATAATTATGGTGATCAAAAAATAATATGATCGATATTGTTAAATTCATTTCTGGGCGTTTTTTCCAACTGATCGTAGGAAACAAGTTATACTTTTTGGACAGAGGAATCAAAGAACTTTTGACTAAAATGGCAAACTTTAAATTTAAAACTAGCAAAAAGTGGAAGTGGTTTTAAACATTTGAATTTAACGGAAAAAAAAAACAAAAAAGAAAATTACCCTGATTGAAAATAATTATGGCGATCAAAAAATAATATGATCGATATTTTCAAATTCACTTCTGGGCGTTTTTTCCAACTGATCGTATACGAAACAAGTTATACTTTTTGGACAGAAGAATAAAAAAATTATAATTTGATGACATACGTTATTTATTGATTATTTTCGAAGTAAATGATTTAATTCTTCTAAAATCTTAAGAACATCATAAAATTGTGATCAGTGTTACATTGTACATATCAAAAACAATGTTAATCCTCATTAAAAAAAGTAATATCAGAAAATTATTCATTTGAACTGAAATGGCCAATTTTAAATTTAAAACTGGCAAAAATTTGAAGTAGCTTTAGACATTTGAATTTAACGAAAAAAACAAAAAGGAAAATTATCCTGATTGAAAATAATTATGGTG